AATGAGAAAAATGTGTGTAATGAAATGAATGAAAAGAAGAAATGACAAAAAAAATACAGATGAATGAATGAAAACTAAAATGATCTTCAGATAAAGCCAGGACAATTATTTACAGGCTTGATGTCAATGTTATTTTTACTTTGAATTTATCAAAAATAAAAAAGAAAGCAGAACATAATTTTAATACTTTAATAGGTGCATAATTGTAGGCATATGTTTATGCGTATATAACTGGTTCTTTTCTGTGACAAACAGCAAATACAGAGTACAACACTAAAAAAAAAAAAAAAAAAAAAAAAAAAAACAAGCAGACAACATGAATGATTTGCTGTAAGGAGATCTGTATACAGCCAGATATTAAGAAAGATGAGGTGACAGCACTGAAACATGGATGGGAAGGCTACTTAGAAACAGACAAACAAATTAATGGACAAAAGACAAAGAGACAAACAAACAGACAACAAGTAAGGACAGACGACAGGAAAGATGACAACATACAAATAAAGATGAAGTCTTGAGATGAGTTATGAATAACAAGATAAGCTAATTATTGAAAAAATGTAAATGTTAAATGAAATAATGGTGGAATTTTGATAATGATGAAGATGAGACAAATGACATTTTCTTTTCTTTTTGACCAGAGTTGCAAAATTTACTCCTTGATTCTTTTATATTTCAAAATTCATTTTTAACAAAAAAAGAAGAAATGAAAAAGAAAAAGGAAAAAAAGGGGGAAAAAAAAGAAAAGATTCCTAAATACTGAATCAATAATAAAAACAAAAATATAAATTTCTTACATGTCCAGAGAGATATATTTTACATTAATTAAAAATAAAATCTTTCATACTATACTGAAGTAAAAAATATATTACAGAATTTAAATTTCTTTTTTTATTTATTTCTCTTTTGATAATTATAAAGTTTTTTTTTCAACAAGTGGAGATAATGGGTACCAGATATTGTTTGAAAATAATATTTTACAATGTTGGTTGTCTTCATTCTTATTTTAAAATTACTTAAACAGTACCATTTAAAAATATTCTTTGACAAATAAAAATATTTTTAGATAAATATGAAATGTAAGTATAGCAATTTTTAATAATTTTAATTTTTAAATGTTACTTTAACAAGAAAAATATGAATAATTTGATTTTAACTATTTTAACTTTCCATGTTGTATAAGTGTTAGCAATAAAAAACTACAAGCCTATTTTATTTATTGTAACTTGTAATGTTAGATGGTAGAAGAACCAGTAGATATGTCATTGAATTTTATCTATCAAGAACAATCATTGCATTTTAAAACGATCAAAAAGAAACTGACAACTGACACAAGACACTAGATAAAACGGAGTTAAAACTAAGAAAGTACGAAGTAGCATAATAATAGTCAAGCTGAATGTTTTATAAAATAAGTGTATAAAAATAAGACCCTATAAAAAACATGTTAAATTGAAAAAAAAAATCCCTACAACTTTAGAATAGCATTTGATATACTCTTCCAAAATTGATTTGATCTTGACCAAGCATAACAGAAACACAAAGTTAAGTGTAAAATCTAAATATTTCAGCAAATTTCATTAAAACTTAGCAAAGATAGCAGACATCATAAGTGAACATTGCAGGAAGTTCAAATTTGGTACGGAAGTCATATTTTGGTATTTACAAAGTTTCAATTAGTGAATCTGAACATCAGGTGGGAAATAATTAAAATCTACTAAACAAGAAACTTAAATCTTGCTTCACATCTTTGCCTGATGAAATTTGATAATTCACTAACTGAAACAATGTGAATGATTATCATTTTTCAAGGTGCATATATGCTATACCAAATATCAATTTCCTACAATGTATAATATACATATCTACATATATATGTCATATACATTCTCATGACATATATGTATACATAAAACTATTGGCAGAGAAGTAATATCTAAGAATTTATGCTGTTTTTTACTTTTTAATATTTGCAAAAACAGCTTCAAATAATATAAGAGAGATACAAAAATAAAGAGAATATTGAGAAACAGGATCTAAAACAGTTGATCTATAATATATGTCATCCAAAGAGCAACTACAGATGAACAACACAACTGTATGCATACAAAATATCCCTATAAGAACTACATATACAAAACGAGCCCCAGTGCACAACATTATTGCCCTAAGTTTTTTTTCTGAGCCAGTAAGAAATAAATTAATCCAAATAACAACTGAACAAGTCAATATATATATATATATATATATATATATATATATATATGTATTAAAAAAAGTATCTAAAAATGGCATTTACCTGCTTCATGAGTAAGGTTCGAGAATAGGTCCATTTCTTTAAAAGAACCAGAAGGTAATATCTTAGAGTACTGGTTGTCATTATTATTATTATAATCATTATCATTATTATAATAATAATAATAATCATTGTTAATGAACTAAACACTTCTCTATTCTTCCTTCAAAAGATGTCAACCAAATATAAATTGACTGTAAGGTCTGATTTTATTTTTAAAACTAATAATATAGTAATTAATGTTAATAGTATAACAATAATGGTAATAATAATTTTCGTAATTTAATCACTCAGCTATTTTATTCTTATGAAAAGTAAACCAATTTAAAATCTAGAAATAAGAAAAATATTTTTAAATGTTATGCTTTTGGCAACATTAGAATATTAAGAATTATTAAAAATTAATATTAATCTATTTGAAATAGTATTCTATGGACAAAACTTTATCTGGAAAATAGAGAGTAGATTCATTACTTTATTGTAAGTCTTTAGTGTATCTATATTGTTTAAATTTATTACATTGTAATCCTCTGCTAGAAATAGGCGAAATTTTCAAGGAAAAAATTAAAAATATTTCTCTCCTTTCTTTTGTTGTGACACTTCACATTATGGTTTAGGACATGCATTATATATATATATATATATATATATATATATATATATATTTATATTATGTCAATAAATAAGGAAAACTGATTTTATTTTTATTCCACTTGACTACCAGCAAAATTAAAAAAACAAAGAAGAATGTTTTTTTTAAGAAGCAGTTTCCACTTTTTATTTAAAGAGATCAATACAAATGTAATGGGATGGTATGGGTCTTGTTTAATGATTATATAGACCCCTTTATTTTTGTGTTTCTTTTTCATATAACAGCCATAACAGCTCAATATATTTGTGTACAGAAGGCAGAAGTAGAAAACTCTAGTAGGCATTACATGTAAGAAACATGTAAATTTGTTGAGAAAAGAGGAAGGGGGATAAGAATTGTTAGTAGTCAGAAAATAGCTAAGATGATTGGATGGATATAATGGACAAAAATATTTTTAAAATTATTTGTTTTGTTAAAAAAATGTATCAACATAGTTTAATATCCTAAAATATAAAATTTTGCTTTAAAATAGAAATTGGTAAAAAATAAGCTGGTAAACAAGTATTGATTTTCTTTAAAGAAAGGAGGGAATTTTTCTTTTTGTAAATATTTATGTAAAGAGAAAAACTGACAAAAATGTATCATTTTTTTTCTGTATGTAGAGATCTGATTTCAACTAATCATTGATTTTGTCTTGCAAGTTTGAAACATCAGGAAGTAATAGTTAATGGAGGGAAGACACCTGAAGAAAAACTTGCAAGTTCTTTTCAATTTTCAAACAAGAATCATCAAAGTTATGAATAAAAAATTTCAGATAAGTAAAAGCACTTAACTGAAAAGGGACTTTTATAAAAAGTTTTAATGGGGTATTTAAAATATTCTCAGTCTTGTTCCTTTATTAAAATGTTTATGTAATTCCATATTTTCATTTACATTATTTAATAAACAGGGATATACTATAAAATATTAGCAAGTCTTTAAAAAAATCAAATACTGGAATTGTAATCAGTCTTCAGTTTTTCCCTTTTCCATTTTAAGGAATCTTTGAAAATTCATAAAATTTAATTTTTATTCTCTAAATATTAGGTAAGGAAATTTCAGTTTTTATGTTAAAATTATTTTAATTAACTGTTTGTGTTTTATTTTAGAAATTTGACTTGATAAACTGAGCAGATTTAAAATAAATAAAATTAAAATAATTTAAATAGAAAAATTTACTTGGTGCTTAATTCCAATTAAAAAGCTTTTAAGTATATTTTAAAACAACTAAAAAATTACAAGCAAAATTATTATTGTCAGCAAATATTTTACTAAACATAAAGTGATAAGTAAATATTTACCATATCTGTATGACATATAAATTGTTATTTTTATTTATAAATTCACTCAGAGTGTGTGTATATATATATATATATATATATATATATATATATATATAAAATTATATGTACAAGGGAAGGCTGAAAAGCTTTTGGCACAACCACAAAGACCTTCTAAAATAAAATTCTGATGTTTCATTGTTTGGGCAGATTTTGGAAAGTGGGTTAAGATGAGAACTTTTCAGCACCTCCCCCTCATACATATGATCCATAGATATTATATCTTAATTACATATACACACGCATAAACACACATATATGCAATAATACATCTTTTGATATACATAACATATAAATATGTCTGTGCGCAAATGTAATATTCACTGTACATATGTATATAGACATGTGTAAAATATGTATGTGTAATATACACGTGATGTATATGTAACTATATATATATATATATATATATATATATAAATGTGGAATAAGTTTACAATATATATCAGTAGATAAATGTTTCAATGTTTAGTTCTGTTTTGTTTTTGTTAAAATGTTTTAATTTCTGTCTTGTTCTATAATTTTAATTCAGAAAATACAAAACTAAGAGTAAAAGAATTCTATAATAGTTATATTAGTAATAATAATAATGATATTTTTAGTCACTGAGCCCATTAATTAAGTAGATGGCTTTAGAAGACTCACTGGCTATTGTCAGGTGACCCATTAATAGTATTTATAATAGTGTAATAGTAGCAGGAAGTAGGAGTGGAGGATCTTTCAGAATACTTGCCTGAAGAATCAGGGGTGGGAGGCAAATCAGGGAGTTTTCTCCCCTGAATGCTATCTTTGGGTTCCAGGTAATTTCCGCTGCCACTGCTTTTCGAACACAGCTTATCTGCACTGCCAGCACACAATTCTCGATCAGAGTCCATGTCATCTGTTGCTACACTGTTGTACATGTTACCGTGGGAAAGCTTACCATTGGTGCAACTACCCCGCAGGTCGCTTAAATTTATGGTCACATGCCGGTCGCCGAGGACGACTGGTTTTTGACATGGGCGGTTGTTGTTATGTTTGCATTGCCGATGCCTCACCACAATTATTACAGCCACAATGAACAGAATAATTATGAGGGCAGCGAGAGCACCAATGATTATTCCAACATAGCTGTCATCCATGACCTTTGGTGCTTTGTGCTGTTGACCTCCATGTGTGATGGGACCTAGAAAAATACACAACAATATAATAAGAAAAAAATCAACATGAAACAATCAATTATAACATGCGCACACACACACACATGTACAGGCAAAATGTACAGGTGCGTGCATGGGCAACAGGTGCAACACACTGACAGTTTGACAACTGATGATCCTGCAACTTTTTAAATCTAGACTAATTAAGAGAGAACACTTGAAACTCCCGTATCAATCAAATAAGTTAATGTTTTTCAACAAAGAATATTGTTGATCTTTCAGTTTTATGAAATTTTTAGTTTATTTTTTGCTAACATTTAATCTTAGTTATGGCTTCAGGCTAGATGCATGTATCTCTGTTGATAGGAAGTTAACACTAGTTCATACTGATCCAAAAAGGAAGTCAAACCACTAACAAAATAAAATTAATTAACAAAAAAAAAAAAAAAAATAATAAATAAACCCAACCCCTTCTGATCATCATCATCCTGTGGGTCAGTGATATATCATTGAATAAGTAAATACCTGACCTTGGTTGATCTGGTAAGGCTTTTGGGACCACAAGTGCTGGAAAATCGGTGTGAGTATGGATGATAGAAAAGGACAGATCATTGAGTGATTTTTGAAAATTGTTCATGAGCTATGTAGCAAAAGTAAGAGAAAATATGAATCTATAAACACAAAAATAAAATTTAAAATTAAGAAAACATAATAAATAAAAGGAAGGAACCTAAATGAAAAATCTGCCAAGATGGACAAAATCTTTGCTAACATAAAACATTAATTTCCAAGTACAGATTAGAGAAAAATACATATGAAGTTTTAACCTTCTTGGGAAAAGTCAAACAACTAAAGAGAAAATTACAAAAAAAAGTTTTGTTTTACTCAACAGCGGAATCAAGAAATTCAGTTAAACAGTGAATTATGAATTATAAGATGAAAAAATCCCAGTTCCTTGTAAATGAAAATTAGTGAGAAAATTTATATGGATAGAGAATATGAATGCAGTGACAAAGAGCAGCTATATAATTATTGATCATATTCTATGATAACAAAGAGTGAGACAGAAAGAGTAAAACTAAAATAGGATTTAAAATCATACAAAGTGAAAATGCAATAAAAATGTAAATTACAATGAAATTGTTACATTGAAATATGGTGGCATCCAAATGGATAAATAAGACATAGCTAATAAAAAGAAATAGCTAAAATAGTCTATGCCAGAATATAAAATAAGTGAATAGAGAAAGCTTTAAAAATATAGAACAGATGAAAGTGCTTATATCATTGAGCAAAACAACTAATGCTCTGCTTACTTCATTTTAATAATGGAAATGGTCAGACAATACTTATTTGATAACACTGTATTGTATTATTAACATAAGTGAGGAGAGCTTTAATAAGAATTCATTTATTTCCCTTAAGTTTTTTTGTTGAGAAAAAGAGAAAATGATATATATATATATATATATATATATATATATATATCATGGATGGAAACAATGAACAATTAAAAATATAAATGGTTTATCAAGGATAAAATAATCATTAACCAGTAAACAAGAAGACTGAGCTGTGATGAATGAATTAAATAATATTGATAATAAAGATATGGATATATGAAAGTCATTTGAACTGTTATTAGATGAATGCAGAAAATATAGATGGACAGAACATTGAAAATAGCAGAAAGAATAACAAGGAAAGGAATAATATGAAAAAAGAAAGAAAAAGATAATAATAATAATAACAATAATAATTTTATTTATTTATTTTTTGGGCAGAGTCATGGGAACTGATGAAAAAATACCCAAGGACAAAAATACAGGTGTCAAAAGCCATACTGAAAAATAATAATAATAGTAGTAGTAATAATAATAATAATAACATCAACATTATGATCCAATGTGGCTATGAAATATTTCATAGAAAACCAGACATCATGATAAGAAAGAACATACATCATGAAAGACATTGCATGCCCCAGAGACAATGGAGTAGTGAACAAAGAAGAAAAACAGAAGAACTATGATTGTTTAAAATGGGAAGTATACAAATTGCTGTCAATGAAATGATTGAAAGTCACCCCCATTGATGCTGGCGTTCTGCACATCATAAGTATTGAACTTCCAAAGTGGCTGGGGAAGATTGGGGTCAAAGGTCAAGATTGGACTCTTGCAGACAACAACTCTCCTTTGGATTGATTGTATACTCCGAGGAGTTCTCGAACAATGATGAAAACATACCACTTCAGTCCACTGGTTATGGACAACTTGTATTTTGGTTCCATCTTCAGTAAAATTTTCAGATCAATTTATAATAATAAGGATAATAGAAATAGTATCAATAAAGATCAACATATATAAGTGAAAAATTAATGATGTTTGACAAACATATCTCAAGAAATTTTGCTTCAGGATGGTGTTCATTTTGTAATGTAAAAATCTGCAAACTTAATTATTTTCATTAATAAAATAACAATTATAGTAACAAGCAATCAATAAACTGGAACATCAACACATTAAATGAAATTTTAAAATGTATCATTGATTTGTATACAAGCAATATACACATAAGTAATATATAATAATGTAGAATTATCATATAATAATAATAATAAAAATAATAATAATAATAATAATAATACACATTGCAGCCAATATTATGAAAAATATGAGGTAGTGCTGAATAGCTTTTGGTCTGATCCACTTCTCTAAATCTGAGTAAATTATCAAGCAACAGAATTTATTATAAAATAACTTCTTAGTTGAGCAAATAACTTTTCAGCACCCCTTCAAATATTAGCACAAATTATACTTGATGATTTTCCAATATTGTGTATTTAGAAGAGAAATTTACTAACTTGAGTAAAACGATATTTGTGCTGTGCATAGAAAGATGAGAGGCATCATGGGAAAATAAGATAAAGTTACCATATTTTTTATCAAATATTTGCATTCAAACTAAGTTAATGTTGGGGATCAACTATTTGAAATTCCATATAACAAAATTATTTATTATTTTGTCTTTTTTTAAAACTAAGGTATACTGAAAATTAATATTTTCTGCCTGGAATATAGTTTGAGAGCCAGGAAACTTAAAAATTTAATAGCCATTTTCATAAGCACAGTGAGACTAAACAATGATGCCAGAATTAAAATTTTTTAGAATGGATCTGAGTACTATGTCAACATAAAAAAAGAGAACTTATTTAGCAAGGGTTCATTAAGACCAAAGTATTTAAAATAGTTAACATTTTTAAATGTTAAAATTTATATATATATATATATATATATATATATATATATATATATATATATATATATATATATATATATATATATATTTCAGATAGAGTATATTTGTAAAGGACAATATGAATAAAGACAAAAGGAAAAATTATCTTAGCCAACACGCTATGACCTCTGTGGAACTTTATCAAGGCAAATGCAAGGGTTTTATTTTGTAACAAGTGTTCATATACAAGAGCAAAATTGTTATTATTTTTTCAAAATTTATGAGCGTTCCAATACCTAAAAATTTTGAAAAACCAATTACAAATTTGCTCTTGTATATCAAAATAAAATCCTCACATGTCTTGACAAAAGGCATTGTCAGCTAAGATAACTTTTCCTTTTACCTTTATTCATATTTGTTTGTGTGTGTGTGTAAGTTATAAATAATATATTTTAATAATATATTAATTAATAATATGATATCTGTCAATAATTCAAGATTTATTTGATCCTGTCAAGGTGGTGAGTCCATGAAAATCTGAAATCAGTCACAAACAAAAGCAAGCCCTCTAAATGTTTCTTAATTCAATGACTATACATATATATAGTAAATCAAAAGTAGGAAAACTATAAACATTTTTCAAAATCTTTCACATTAAATATATTGATTGGGGTAGTTTAAAAACCTTACCCTGAAATCAAATAGAGAGACAATAAACTTGGCAATGATTTCGATATTGCTTTAAATGCCTATGACATTTTTTAAAACCAAAGCATTTAATTGAATAATTAAATCATTATTAATTAATATATTTAATTGAATTGTTTTCAAAATTTAATCATTATTAATTTTATTACATTTTATCCATTTCTTCATAGAATATATAACTGCAGAGTTGAAAAATAAATAAAAGTAAATATCACTGGTGCATTAGAAAGTCAAAATTTTCTTATTGAGAATTAATGTTTTGTTCAGGTGGTGCATTAAAAACAATCATTTATTTTCTAGAATATTTTCACCTCCACCTTTTTTATTTTATTTTACTTTCTTTTTTTTTTTACATAAAATATATTTTGTTATAACAACAACCAAATGTATTTCCCTTTTTTATATTATAATGTTCAGCTTGTAGAAAATTTTCTAGAATTTTTTCCCTAATTAACAACAAATATTTTGTCATTTTAAATTAAAAAAAAAAAAAACATTATTTTGAAGTTTTTTGTTTTTAATCTGTCAGAAATTTACATGATCTCACTTAATAATCTCCCTTAGATTTTTTTCGTGGAGGTCACACAGATCCAAGGGCATTAACTCTTTAAATTTTCATCGCCGTTATCTTTCGTAAAAATTATCGTTGATAACTCGGCTTGGATTTTTTTAACCAAACAAGAGAAAACGTTTAATGCATCGGAAGGAATACAACTTAGTGAGATCAACTTTTAAATTAAACAGGCGCATTTTTGTTTTATAAATATAATTATGCATACAATACGTTGGCACAAATTTATTTTTATAAATTTTTTTTATTAATATTGGCACAATTGAAACCACTGTATTGTTAAATATTTAAGTGCCTAAAGAATATTCAACAAAGGGGAAGGAATTGTTATTGGAACAATCTCACAGATCACATACTGACATTTTTGATCTTCAAACAGTGCCCCTTACCTGTAGCACTGTGCCAAACTTAAGCTATGTAAACAGGTTTGGGTGCCTTAAGTGTGAGGTAATGAATAACAAGCTAGTTTAGTTGACCATTACTACTGAGTAGTGAGTTCGATCTTCACTGGGTGCCCTATACTGTGGCCTTGTGTGCCAAACTAAGCTAAACAGTTTACAACAGACAATAATACATACTAAAAATAAGAAGTCAGACACATGATAAGCATATTTTTAGTAAAACAAAGAAAAGAAAAAAAGATGCTTGTAAGATTGATTTAAAATATAAGAGCTAGAATGAACGAACATTCAAGGCTATATAGCTGAAATGAACATAAGATGGTTCTTAGTGAAAACGGGCGATTAAATGCAGGCAAATGAAAATGAGCTAGAATTTAAAGAGAGTGCAGATATTGATTTAAATAACTAAGAAGACAGTAAACGGTTTGTTGACTCTCTTACTTACATGAACAAAACTGTATAAAAAAAGGTAATTAAAAAAAAAAACAAAAAAATGAAATTAACAAGATATTTATCTGTCCACCCACTCAAACCAAATATGGCACAACACTATTTAAAGTGTTAATTTCTATACATACATGGGATTAGTAACAAATTGTTCAATTCTCTCAATACTTGCGTTTTGGAATGCTTCAGACATCAGAGATTGACCCTGACCCTTTACGTTTTAATGCAATGGAGAAGGTGCAATGTAATGGTAAGGCACTGGAACTAGACTGGGGCCAAATTGTGCTTTTAGCCCCAAAAATGAAACAGTAAGAAATGAATAAAGGCTTTTATTATCCTAAAATCAATTTAAAATGTGTATAATTTAAACTCTGATAGTAATTTGGAATGTGAATATATATTACCTTTGTGGCCAAGATTGTGATTGCCTGGTGATATATTTTTAGGAATCCATAGATTCACACGTTTTTCATCATTTGTCTTGGAGACTCCTTTTTCTGGGGATACGGTCGGTGTGTTTGTTGTTGGAGGAGGAAGTTCATCTGAAAAGTTACCCTCCAGTTTTACTGAAACAGAAATATCATTGCTGGTATCAATATGTAGTCATTACAATCTTCCTAGTATGTAAGTGTTATATCACATTATATTAAAAAAGATTAAGATTTCATTAGAATATATTCATGGACTCCCCAAAATAATGTGGTAAATTTTAAAAATGTAACTCCAAAACTGCATATTAATATCTTTTTTTTTCATTGAATGAAATAAGTTAAAAAGCAAGAAAAAGATAAATAAGACACAAGAAAATTTTAAAAAAAGGAAATTCACATTTGAATAATATGAATACATTAAAAGATTAATATCTGTTATTGTTTTAATATATACAAATATAATATTGTTTCTTAACAATATATCTAAGTACATTTTGTTAATAAGCTTAAAATTTTTCATTTTCTTAATCATAGTTTTATAAATGCATTTGGAGCTGGAATTTCCCCACTCCTGTCAAATGCTATCCATCAACCATAATATGAAGGTAATTATGATTATTTATTCACTGATAAAGAATGACAGAAGAAGGAATTTATACAAAATAAAAGAAAATATTCTATATCTGAAAAGAATTAGGGAACCAAAAATAACAAAAATTCTTTTTATGGAAAAAGAAATAAACCTCTTAAGACGTTCTTCACTTTTGTCCATTTTTCTAGTTTGTACAAATTGACTAGTTCAACCTTTCTTGTTCTATTAACACAGTTTTTATGGATGTCCTTATCTATTTTGCTCTGCCATTAAACACATTATTTACTGTTGAATGTTTGACAGATGGCTTAACAGATCAGTTAAGTAATATAGATATAATAGCTGTCTGTTACTTCCTACAGATTCTAAGTGGAGCTTAGAGAGGGTCACAAATACACTAAGTGATGTGACTGAATTGTTATGGGAAGTTAGGTTACTAGCCTGATGCCCAAGATAAATAGCCTTACAGGATTACATCTGCTCTTTGTGCAAACTGTTCCAGCTTGATTCTGTAATCTATAGACATTTGTGCATGTGTGTCTGGCTAAAACTAATAAATTACAATAATTCATGAAGTAAATATATATACAAACTTATTATCACCCAAGCCAGCTTTTTGTAAAAAAATTATCATTGTAGGATTTGTATTTATGAAGATATTTTAAAATTAAAATGCATTCAAAATTCTCAGAATTAAAAAATAAAAAACAGTAATAATTCTTATTCCAGATTAGGATTACCGTTTGTTTTTACTTTTTTATTCTGTTGATACTTTTGAAATGCTATACATGTATGCATTTTTAAAATTTCTATTCTCTTGAATTTATTTTCACATCTGTAGTAAGTAAAAGCATAACTTTAATAAAATGAATATTAAAACAACAAAGTAAATTTAAAAGAAGAAGAATATTAAATACAATTATTTGACTAAAAGTTTAATATTTATTTATTCAAATATTTGAGTGCATGTGTTTCTGACTGCAAAATAATTATACAGACTCAGTATCACCCTAAAGGGCAGATGTTTGTGTGTGCATGCATTATTGACTTATTAATATTTTTCAGTCATCTTATTGAAAATAATTTTTTTTATTCAATCTTTAAAAAAATAAACTTCATTGTTTTTTGGGTTTGTAACTAACATAAAAAAGTAAATAATTTTCAATTAAGTTTTATTAAAGCAAAAAACTAGTGAGCCTTATTTTTTCAAAAATTTTTAAATTCGTAAAGCAAATATTCAACACAACTAATGTTGACCGTAAGTAATATCTCTCTCTGCTAATTTTTATTTAACTATGTTTTTTTCTTTTCAAATACAAATATTTGAAATTTAAACATAATCGCTTTTCAAAACTAAATTCTCATTGTATCTCACTTCTACTCTCTTTCAAAAGTTAGTAATTAATGTTTAAATTGTAAAACTTTATTTACTTAAAAAAAATCTAAATTCCTCTCCAAAATAAATAGTAAATAATAATTTTTTTGAAGAAGTAAGGCTTGTTATAGTTTTTGCTTGAAAAAAATGATTAAATTAAATAAGTTTAAATATCTTAATTTAAATTTGCTTTTTTATTAATAATAATTTGAAAAAGTTAATGAACTTTTATCTAAGTTTGATTTGTTTGAAAACAACATGAACAGAGTTTTTATGTTAGTATTTAAATCTAAAAATAAAGTAAACTAAAACATTATTTAATTAGAAAAGCTTTTAATTGTTTTTATGAATAAGTCATACTATGGACACTATTGTCTAAGAAACATTTTTCAATGAATAATGAATTTTTACAAGAATTATTTTCATTTTTTAAAAGTTTTAATTATAATAATTTATAAAGATTTTTGTTGTAGTTAGGTGACATTGTTATTAAGTAAAAATGATATTTACTAATCATAAATGGAAAAGTTTATGACACTTCTATGACATCCACTCCCCCAGTGTTTTAAAAATAATTTTGAATTTTTTTGTATGCAAATAAATGTGCCAATTTTTGTAAATACGAACATCCATATATAACATTATCAGAAAATAAGAGAGATAACTACAGTAAAAAATTAAAGTTAAAATTTATTGGTAATTTTCTAACAGTTCCTAAACAAGCATCTTCGTAAGTAAGACTACAAAGACTATAGTAAATATTATAGCAGTATTATAATAGTGATTTCAGAATTTATCTAATACTAGATTTCATTTAATTCATTAAAATCATTTTTAATATTTTTATTTTCATTATTTTTATTATAGTACATTTATTATAATTTTTATTTTTTAATAAATAATATTAATACATGTTTTGCAGATAAAGAGGAATGACGGGGGCAAACAGTTTGAATATCTGAGGGATTGATATGTTAGTATAATCCATACAATACATATTTGTGCACACGTTTTGTTTTTCATTACTGTATACTTACTTTTGCATCTCTCTGTATAAGCAGAGTGCCAGTTAGAGTCGGAAGAGGGAGGAGACATTCATCCAACCAGTCATATTGGTAGCAGTTGCATGTAAGAAGAGGTGAAGGGACTCAAGTGCCACCTACATTCCCCAGAAAGTTTCTATGTCCAACTCAAAACTTGATCAGTGAATAAATAACCAGATTATTGAAAATGGGACTTGTATTTTCATATCTAGTCACAGCATTAATTTCATGTTTCCATTCTATCATGAACATACAACAGGCCTTCCTCAGTTTTTGCGTACACCAATTGAAACATGAAATAAAACACAACATGGAGTGATTTGACCAGTTGGTTAAAGACTGAGAAACATTCTGTGGATGTATGTTTACAAGTTTGTATTTGGTTTAATGACTTGTTGAATACAGTAGGTTAACTAGATGAAAAAAATACAGAAATGTGTCACTTACCTGATACAAAACGAATTTCACTTATCAGAATCCACCTAGCTTCAAAAAATAGTTGCATCTTAATGAATCTTCCAATGTTGTGCTTCAAATTAATAAGGACATCACGAGCATATTCCACGACCGTGTCTTTGACATAGTCAAACCTTATTTCATCTCTGTAGTATTTTCCACCGTTACTGAACGAGATCAAAGCTGTCCGGAAAACACGCACATATTTTTTGTAAGCATTGTTGCAATATAAGAAAACTTCACTGAAGTTTCTCACACCGTCAAATTTGAAAATGATCTCAATAGGCTTGAACATGTCAGAATTATTTCGCCATCCAACCCAATCGTAACCTTTGACACCAAGACCTTTGTTATCTGTCATGCGGAAGTTGCTGTTGCCTTGCAAACCATCAGTAAGCTGTCCCAAACCATTGGACAGGTAGCCATTTTTTATGTTTCCATCGTATGTGTAGTCATACAAATCGAGTTCAGTGCCACGTTGGTGGCCCTGGGGCATGTTGTAGGATAGAAGACCATCTGTAAATAAGAAATAATAAGTCATAGTAACAAAAATATGAAACTCCATATTTATGCACAAACATAGACAAGAAGAAAACCAATTCTCAAAGACATAATTGAAAGTGATGTTTTCAATTAAATATTTTTATGTTAATTCATCTTTTAAACATTGCAGTTGTATGTAGTTTAGATTTTGTCTTAGTTAAAATGTGAAAATAAATAAAAGTAATGGATAATACGTAAAATAGAAATAAGAGAATAGAAAATTAGAAGCAATATAAATATTAATCCATCAAATTTAAAAGTAATGCACAAACATGTTCAATGTAGTATGATTTATTATAGAAGTCAATTATTTTCTATTCAATGTTAAATGTGGATCAGAATAAATAAAATTAAATTTAAAGGATAAAAAACTCCCTACAAAGATATTTCTCATTTAGATAAGAAACCATCCAAGTGTGTGCATGTACACACACACACACACACACACACTTACTAAAGTTTGTTATTAATTTCAAGAAGTCATTACTAATCTTTTTGGAAGACTTGAAAGAAAAATAAAAGTAAAATATTTTGGTAATTTTTTATAATTCTTGAATGTAAAAATAAACAAAAAAAAATCCAAACTCAGACAGATGGTATCAATAAATGAAATTTATCTGTAAAAAAAGACAAAAAAGAAGACTGTTCTTTTAAAGTCAATAAAAATAAGAATACTAGCATCAGAGATAATAAATGACTTCAAAACAGATATTTTGTTAAGTTAGTTTTCTTTAAAATTGAGACTTTTTCATGGAACATGAGATATGAGCTTTGATATTTGCAATTGACTTTTCTTAAATATCTGTGGAGAAAATGAGCAAGTTCAAGATGCAATAGAAAGAATAATGATAGGAAACTCACAACATTAATTTTTGATCCCCTGGAACATAAAAGTCAGTAAGTTGCTAACCAACAGAATAGATAGGTTATTATTTAGCCTGAACATAAATGCATTTTGCATATCTGAGATTCATTTTACCTAATATAGACATTTTTTCTGTACTAAATGTGATGGCTCACTTGTGATACCTTTTCCCAAATGTTTGGGCAACACATATTTTAGAAACTGTGAGTGCTCTAAAAAATCTGTGTACAAGAACTTTCATTTACAATAATCTACTTTCAGATGAAGCTTAGTGTGAGATTTTAAGGCAAATTTTAATAGATAACACCAAAATATATAGGACTCAATGTAAAGAAAGACTTAGAATTCTGGAAGTTGTTGTAATATAAGGGAGATAGAGTTTCTTTCTCAAAAATTGGTTCCAGCAGGCTGAGAAATGCTGGAATTTGCTAAACACACAATTCTTAATAACAACTGTAATTACAACTGGAAGTACTCAGATGGGTACAATAAATGAACTTTGGAAAGTTAATTGAGATAAAACAACAAAGTCAGAAGTTAGAAAAACTAAATAAAAAGTTGGACAAACAGATCTTGTTGGTATTAATAAACTTGCCCGAAAGAATCTTTGCTGCCTAAATACACCTTGAAAAAAAGGAAAATCATGCAATTTGTTTCCTAATATTTGATGAAATAAAAACAACCATAAAAAGTTAACTTAAAAAAAACCTTTAATGGCCATGTTACAAAATAATAATAAAAGAATCTTTTGTCATACTATGCATCATAAAGGGATGGCAAATAAATAGCCATTAAGTTGTCCAAAATTAAAAGTTATTTTTAAACACTACAACACTTACAAGATGAATAAGTAACACTGGCATAAGCAGTACATGATGGCTATCACTCACTCAGGTAACAATGTTACCTACTTTTAAAACTATTTTTCACAAAAGATTTTCATTTGATTTTATGTTAGAAGCTAATATTTAGGAAGCAGTAGAAGAAGCATTTTTGTAAATTTTTGGAGTATATTGGTAATATGTTAAGATGAATGGTACCTACTTTGATTAAATTATGTTTTCTTGCACTTTGAAAATGGTAAACTGTTAATACTAATAGCTAAGTTTCTTAGTAGTAATAAAATTTACATATGAGTAGATTTGTCTGCAACATCAAATAAAAATTTATATGTATCATAATTGAAAAAAAAGAAGAGGAATTAGTTATTTGTGTAACATATATAAGGTTTATTATGTTTACAATGGAATAATGAAAAAAGAACTTATTTTGCATCCTCCCAAATACTTATATACTTCTTCCTTGTCAATACACTCAATATTTCATCATAAATCATATAGACTGAACCTAATATAGTTAAGTAAGTCAATAAATAAGTTAATGTTAGCAGCAAAACCTTTTTTTAGGGAAAGAAAATTTCTTAAACATTCCTTTAATACATTACTGAGCTACAAGACAAAATCCCTGAAATTTTCCAGTGGGATCCTTTTTGAGAGATAACCATTTGTATTTTATTCAGTGCAACAGGTACCCACAGTAGGTAACTTACAGGGCTCTACCTGGAATGTCTATGAAACAAGAAAATGGTTAAAAATTTGCAATAAGAAAGAATTCAATTTAAAAACCTGATGCAAGCATTTCTGGCCTTTGCATGCCGCATCTTTAATCTCAAAATCTCTTGTCTTGTTTCTAATTTTTATCTATTTCTTTTAAATTCTTGTTATGTATTTATCAGGCAATTACTTTGCTAATTGCTGGCATCATACTAATTTTTAATTTGAGTTCCATTTTAAAACAATTGAAACAGGGTGCTAATTAGAAGACTGCACACACTCACACCACCACCATATTGCCATTCACTTGCAATTTCTAAAGCTTCTATTGCTGGAAGCATTCTACTTTTTTTGTGGAAAGAGGAGGCCTATAAAGTTAGATAATAGATTGGAAACAATTTTCCATTCTCTCCACTTTGTATCACTTTAAGTGTTCCTATAATTCACTCTAAAATTGTCAAGGTTACAAACATTTTTGTTGTTTTTTTTTGCTATTTAGAAGTCTTTAAAGGATGATAGAGTTTATGATAGGTAAGGCAATGTAAGGATTGGTCTCATTTTAGCCAGGGAGTGTGAGAACTCTAAAACCTTGTATTGCTGAGATATTTAGTAAAAAGTAATTCACTGCACACACAGTATTTTTGACAGTAAATAAAGAAGTGATACCTGTAATACTTGGGTATTAAATCAAATGTGATGAAATTGCAGTAAATTACAATAATACAATTAATTAGTAATCAGAGAACATTAGAAATTATAAACACAAATAATCTATTTACAATTATACATTCAAGCAATATGACAGGAGAGTATTGAGATAATATTTGGTCATGTTTGAAAACCATCAGTAATTTAGTACCTGTTTTGATAATAGTTTTATATTAAAGCATTATTGAAATATTATTTTACTGATGTATATATTATAATCAATAGCCAATGAATAAACAATCAACAATTTTTCATTAGTAATTTCAAATAGTATAAAAGTGAAAAGTTCCAATTTGCCAAGCTGGACATGATTTAATTTAAAAAAAAAAAAAATGTTTCTAACTTGTTATCCGGATTTGTATCTTCAAAACAAATATAACAAAATATATTAAATATTTATGCTCATAAAACTTAAAGGGTATAAAATTTCATCCAAAGCTATAAATCAATGAAGGAAAACAAATGCAAATGACAGCAATTTGTAAAATGTTCTTCCTTTTTTATGGTGCAAATTTAATAAAAAAAAAAAAAAAAAAAAAATTTTTCTTGCACACAAACAAAATCAGAGTGAGAGAAAATTTCAAAAGGAAAGTTATTTTACAATGTTTAATAAAAACTTTTACACAAGTCACAATAATATGAATGGAAAAAAATTTTTTTCCATCAATTTTTCTTTTGAAAAGTAATTCCAGATAATAGTGTAGGATGGTCATTCAAAGAAGACAAGACCTTAGATAATATTATCACATCTATCACTCAAACAATGGGAACAGTAGAAAATGCCAAGGAAGCAGGAGGATAAGCAGAGTTCTGTGTGTGTGTGTATATATATATATATATATATATATATATATATATATATATATATATATAAATACATACATACATGTGTGTGTGTGTATTTTGAAAGAAATAATTTTTTTTTTATTTATTAATTTGACATATTTTTTATCACTTTAAACATTATTTTTAGTGGATAATACCCATATTTGAGTCGGCAATCTGTTTATTTTAAACTGTACATGCCAGAGAGCACATATTTCTTTAATAAGATTTCCCAAATATTCATGAAAGTAGACAAAATAAATCCCTGTGACTATATGCACAGCTTGTTAAATTAGTAGCACTTGGTCTGAAGATTGTATTGAAGTATGAAACTGATAAACAACATGCAAAGTTGATTCCTATGTTTACACTATATATATGTATGTATGTTTACACTATATATGTAAAATTTAAAAAAAATGTCCAAACTAGAAAACAAAAGTTAACTAGAAGGAAGAAATGAAGACAAATTAAAAATACAAAATAAAAAGTTAACTAGAATTTGAGATTTTAATTAATCAGAGTTTAAAAATAAAGGAGAAAATTACAAAGATGGGATAAGCTGATGTGTATATATGTGTGGGTAGTCAACTGTTCAATCTTAGTTGGCAATTGAATAAAATGCTTTACACATTAATTACATTCTATCAATCAACCAACTGCTCAGTCTGTTGGCAATTGTCAAATTTGAATGTAATTGATTTTCCAATATATTATCAACTTTTTTTTTTACTAATCAAAGTTAATGTAGCCCTGGATTGAAAAAGCATCAAAATTATCAATTTTTACTTGCCTAATTTTATCTTGTCTTAACTGATTGATTAAATACTTGGGAAAAAATGCCACTTGTGGAATTTAAGGTGAGAAATTTTATGGAATGTTTGAGAAACCTAATGTTTTTGGAATAGTAAACAAAATGTCAAATTATTAACACTTAAAAAAACATTTTTCTTTTGCACAACACAAGAATAAACACATATGTATCCATTTATATAGCATTGTCATTTATTGAAAACACTAAA